GCACTTATGCCCAATCACAACTCCATTTGAGTTCTGACCATTGCCCTTTTCCAATCACTTCCTTAGATATTAAAAGGCTGATCTTTTAGAATTTTTTTTGTCATGTATTAAGATAAATGAGAAGAGAAGTCACAATGTAGCTAACAATTGCTCACTCTAACTTCTTAGGGCGTAAAAGTGGAGTGTTCTTAAAAGTTCCTGGGGAGGCCCTGACTTCCAAATATGCTTCCTTAGATATAGCAAGTAAGCCTAACTATCTTCTCCAGCAGGATGAGTAAACCCATCTTTCTGCTATAGCATTTAGTCATTCTAGCAAATCAAAAGATGATAGATGAGGATACTGTATGGAAAAGGAAAACGGAAATGCTGTCCTTGCTAGGGATGAGCTGAGCCATTGTGGAAGAACTGCACAGAAACACTGCTGATGGTGATGAAGACATACACTGAGTTCCCATGATACTAAAAACTCAGTACCTCTCCAACCTGATTGCTTTTACATTGTTTGAGTTCCACCTCCTCTAGCAGGTAACCAACAAACAGCCATGGGAGCAGAGTTAAACAGACTGAGTCACTCACATCAGCACTCTCCTCTTCCATTACATCTAAAAAGGTGAGCACTTCCCTTGGTGAGGGAGGGGAAAGAAATCACAAGAATAAATTTAAAGAGGTATGGGAGCTTAAAACAATAATTTCATGTATATTACCTGGAGTTAGGTTATCCTGCTTAATCCATTGCTTGCATTAACATATCTGTGATTACTGTTATTTTATTGTTTCATTAATATAGTATACTTCTTGAGACACTGGTTTTAAAGACATTATGTTACTGTCCTTAAATTTCTCAGAAGTGTTTTTACCCCCTAGCTGGTTGAGGGAAATGTTTATCCTATGGAAATCGCATATGCCCACTGCAGAAAAAATGAGTTTCATAACCCTAGATTAAAACCATAGCCTTGGCCGGGTGCAGTGGCTCACACCTGTAGTCCCAGCACTTCGGGTGGCCAACTGGGGAGGATCACCTGAGGGTCAGGAGTTCAAGACCAGCCTGGCCAACATGACGAAACCCCATCTCTACTAAAAATAAAAAAATGAGCTGGGCGTGGTGGCAGGCACCTGTAATCCCAGCTACTCAGGAGGCTGAGGCAGAACAATCACTTGAACCCAGAAGGTACAGGCTGCAGTGAGCCGAGATCACACCACTGCCCTCCTGCCTGGATGACAGAGAGAGACTCCATCTCAAAACAAAACAAAACAAAACAAAAAAAACCATAGCCTTGAAGAGACAGTCATCTTAAATGCCAGTTAATGTACTGCGTACAAACCTATCTCCTCAGGCCCATTTTCATTGAAAGAAAAAAAAAAGTAAACATAACATATGGTGCTGATGCAGATCAGTCTGACATCAAATAAAGGCTCAATTTAGATCTAACCTTATCTTAAAGATATAAACAAGGCCTGTGGCTCACGCCTGTAGTCCCAGCTAACTGGGAGGCTGAGGTGGGAGGATGGCTTGAGCCCAGGAGTTCGAGACCAGCCTGGGCAACAAAGTGAGAGCTGTCTCAAAAATACAAAAAAAGAAAAGAAAAAAAGATAAACATATGCCAAAGCCTATACATCTTGTACAATAACGGTTCAGCTTTTAGCAGAGTTAAACTAAGCAATATTATCTTCAAGAAATAAACTTACAAGAACAGTAAGCCTTTTAAAATCAAAGATAGGTTTCATCCATTTTATACCTTTTGGTGATCATGCTACTATTATTTGGATTATGCTAGACAACTCTGAAAGCCACATTCATTCTTCAAGGTTTCTAGGATACTCTAAATTTATTCCTTCAGTGCAGTTAAGTAATGTCCTAGAAGCCTGAAAGGGATTTTTAATGCAGCTTTTCAAACATACTCAACCAAAAACAGTTTAAGGAAACAAGAGGCTCTGATTCTCATTATCTGTGCTACCATCTAATACTTTAAGTTGAATAGTACTTTTTAAATATTTAACATGTTTTCAACTGTGCAATTAATTCAATTTTGAACTTTAAAACTGGTCCAGATATTCAGCAACATTAAAATACACATGAAATAAATAAAAGATCTACAAACCGTTTTTCTCCAACACTTTTTTTCCCATATAAAGGTATTACTCTATGCATACTGTTGGTACTCAATAAATATTAATACACTAGGTGAATAATTTCTAACTTTACCTAAAAGGAAGAGAATCCCTCAAGTAGCATGGTTTGACATACACATACATACACACACACGTCCATAATTAGCAACTGCTAGAATAAAAAATAATTATATTAATCTAAGGGATAACAGACTTTTTCTTTCAAGCAACAGCCAAGGAAAGACTTCTAACCTGTACGTTTTAGAGAGGATTTTTGATATATACAATCCATTACAGTAAAAAAAATTAACAGTAAAAATTTGAGACTATCTTGGCATTTGGCCAAGAGAACTGAATCTCCGGCAGAACCTGAAAGACCTCATAACAATCTCACCTATAAATACTCTGGCATGGACCCCGAGTTCAAACTATAGAGTATTAACAAAGACACAATGTACTAAGGTACTCATTTTGAATCTCAATGACATGACAATCTATGACTGTCCAATTAATTTTAAATTGGGTTTAAATAATTTCAAATAGGTCTATGTTTAAAAGGAAGAACAGCACTCGATTAGATATTTAAAGTTTTTTTAAAAATTCAAGCTCTACATATTTAATATTTTCAAAGGACTCTGAAAAGCACTAATTATAACAAAAACAGTGTTTAGTGTGAGAAACAGATTAGTAACCTGTGTCTTCAATAAAGCTTGCACTTTGTCAATTCAACGCATGCTTGTTTTTTTGTTTGTTTTTTTTTGAGACGGAGTCTTGCTCTGTCGCCCAGGCTGGAGTGCAGTGGCGCGATCTCGGCTCACTGCAAGCTCCGCCTCCCGGGTTCACGCCATTCTCCTGCCTCAGTCTCCCGAGTAGCTGGGACTACAGGCGCCCGCCACCACACCCAGCTAATTTTTTGTATTTTTAGTAGAGACGAGGTTTCACCGTGTTAGCCAGGATGGTCTCCATCTCCTGACCTCATGATCCGCCCGCCTCGGCCTCCCAAAGTGCTGGGATTACAGGCGTGAGCCACCGCGCCCGGCATTTTTTTCCTAACATTACATTGCACTAAGTTGTCAAAGGACATATCATCTATCTACAATGATTCTAAACATTACTTAAAACAGCTCCTAATTTAGTTTATAATTAATTTGTTTGACATATCAACTACAATGGTGAAGCAGCAACACACAGTTCCTTGAGGAATGTGAATGACAAAGTATAAGCCACAAGTTAAATTTTTCCATTTACGGTTCATTTTAGGAAGCAACTCAGGTGGTATTTAGAACAAACAAGTTAAAAATTTATCTCAGGTTGATATGATGTTGGTAATCAGAAGGGTGATAAGGTTTACTGATTTACTGCAGAACTGGAATCTCCAATGGAAATTAGTGCCCTCTGGGCCACCTGGGGCCCTACATAGCTGGTAAGCTTAAAAAAAAAAAAGACTTTAGTATCTTTAGTAATTAGAAAGACAGCATGCTCTAGCACAAACTCCAGTACCCTAAACACATGTCATATATCAAAAGAGAATACTCTTTCAACGTCAAAAGGTGACTGTATTTAATGCAGGTTAACCATCACTCTTTAGATTTAAGCACAACTTGGTGGTATTAATACCAGAGGATGTGGTTAAACAAGACAAGAGCACCTGATAGTCTTGGGAATACCATGAAGACTTCTCATTGGTTTGCAATCATTTCCATGAGCTCAATAGCAACAAGGGGCAGTGGTTACATGGGCTCACTCTGGGTTCAGAACCAACCTGTGTCACCTAATATCACTACACCTTGGGGAGATACTTATCCTCTCCATCCCTCTGTTTAGTCACTGGGTTGCTGGAAGGACTAAGTAAATTAAATCATATAAAACTCTTAGTGCCTGGCACAGAGGTTAGGCACACAAATATTGGCTATCACAAACATCTGCTGAGTCTTCACATGCTGGGTAGCATGATATAACAGCCTTCAAAAAGATATGTCACTTTATATACTGATAATGATAAACACATAAAGCACTGAGTACAAACCTTATTCTAAGCACTTTACACATAACTCAGTTAAGCTAAAGTTCTGATGTGACTGTTCCCCAACACACTACACAGTTTGTTCAGAGCCGGGTTTCTATGCTTTTATGTGATTTCTTCCCTCAAACACTTCTTATACTCTGATGACATGCATACATGCCGCCCAGTACTGCTAACCAACTGCTTTGAAACGGGAAAGATCAATCAGCTAACCACCTGTAGGCTTACATGTGACAAAAACACTCAGACATGATAGCACTACTCCAGGAAGTCTCAAAACCTCAGAAGTTGGGCACCACCCTGTATCTAGGTTTTAGGATTGTGTTTAGGAGTCGGGCTGTTGCTGATGTTATGTTCTCTTGGTCTCAAAAGACATTCTGCTTTTACAAAGACCAGATCTACACTTTAAACATAATTGAGCAGAATTCACATTCATCCCAGCATAATATTGAAAAAAGGAGACAGCAAAGTGTATAATTTTCTCCCTTTCAGTCAATGCTTGAAACTTACATTCCGAAAATACAATCCTTCTATCAATGCAAACTATTTCCCAAGTATCATATGATCAACTATGTCAAATGTTTACCAAACATTTCCTGACATCATATACGTAAAATGTAGCAATACATTGAATGTCTCATAACCAACTAAAAACGCCTTCAAATTATGTTTAACATTCAAAATAGATACACCCGTTTCTTCTTTAAAAACTATTACCAACATGCCAGCACTTCTGAGCACCTTAAGTGTTAGCACAGACTGAACTCTCCAGAAAGATGAAGAGTTAAATGTAGCGGCCTTTATTTTATCCTGGTCCTCCTTCCATAAAGTTAATCTGCTCCATTTAAGCAAAGGAAAATGAGTTATAATGCAAGGACAATATAATGGAGACTTCGATATAAAAACTTTCTACAAATGCTCCATTTATAATGTTCCAGTTATTTATAGGGATAGGTAACTTAACCCTATAAATTTTTTTTTTTTTTTTTTTTTTTTTTTTTTTTGAGACGGAGTCTCGCTCTGTCGCCCAGGCTGGAGTGCAGTGGCCGGATCTCAGCTCACTGCAAGCTCCGCCTCCCGGGTTCACGCCATTCTCCTGCCTCAGCCTCCCGAGTAGCTGGGACTACAGGCGCCCACCACCACGCCCGGCTATTTTTTTGTATTTTTTTAGTAGAGACGGGGTTTCACCGTGTTAGCCAGGATGGTCTCGATCTCCTGACCTCGTGATCCACCCGTCTCGGCCTCCCAAAGTGCTGGGATTACAGGCTTGAGCCACCGCGCCCGGCCCAACCCTATAAATTTTACATTGTTCGAGTTCCACCTCTAGCAGGTAACCAACAAACAGCCATGGGAGCAAGTATTTATAGGGTTAAGTTAATGGGTTGGTCGCATAACTTAATTACACAAATATTTTTAACAGTCAAATATTTAACTTAAAAACGCCAAATTGCACTGTACTCTTATTTTTTTTAATCTCTAAAAACACTCTCACTAGGAGTCTTCTGAAGCCAAAATTAGGAACGTACCCGGCACTATGCAGTCAGAAGCCATTCCAAGAAAAGCTACCATTTAACACTGCTAAATCTAAAATGCTACATAATTCAACGTAAACGTGCACGCACGTGTGTGTAGCTAGTCCCATACCCCAGAATCTTATCAATTCCTTCCCCAAACTTGCATATAATCCTCCCTCAAAGCCTCTTGGTTAAGTTAAATTCCTTAACACTCTACCAGGTTAATTGCAACAGCACATGTGCCAAGGAAATTAGTGGTTTTCCTTGCGCTCCCATTTTCAACGGGCACCTACTTGCAATTAAATCTCTGCAACAAAAAAGTTCACCTGAGGCCGTTCTTGCCATTTTAAAAGAGGCCCAGATTATGCTACCTGTCTGTGGTCTTGCCTGAGCTATAATAGCATACCTCCAAAGAGGCTGGACGTGCCCCAAACACCGGCACACCAGACCTGCTGCCAACTTTGCTTGTCACCCCTAGCAGGAAGCTCAACCTAACATGTATACGTTTGTAGGGGTGGCGTGTTTGTGTGTATGTATGTCTGTGTCGGGGGGTGGGGAAGCGGATTACAGGAGAAAGGTGACTGAACACTTTCAACTTGTAACAGAAGTTGTGTTTGTTTTTAATGAGGAGAAAAAAACTAAAACCAACATTCTCTCTTTCCTCCACCTTTTTTCCAAGTGCAGGAACCTCCTACTCCCCTGGAGTGCACCTTCAGGGCTTAAGGTCCCCGGGGTCACCTAAGCTATCAGCTAGCATCTGATTTTAGCACTCCTCGCCTTCCTAGGAAAAACCAGAGGACGCGCAAAGCGTCGGGCCCACACAGCGGCGCCGCAGGCCGCGCACCGCCGCCCCCAGACCCTCCCCCGCAGGTACGCTCCCCGCCGGCCTGTCGGAGGTCCCCACTCCCACCCCGGAAAAGGGTTCACCTGAGGCCGCAGAGACAGCCAATGAGAAGTACCCTCGGCCCCGCCAGCCGCCGCTCCCCACCCCCGCGCGACCCCCGGTAGCGTCCCCGCTGCCAGCCCCCGCGCGGGTGCCCGCGTCCCGGCCTGGAGGAGAGGCAGGACGACGGCGCCTCCTCTCCCCGCAGGATTACCTCGCAGCGCGCAGCCGGCTTTGTGTTTCCCCTCCCTCCTTCTCCGCAGCCGCCCGGGCTGCAGCAGCCGCCGGATCCACCGCTGCCGCCGCCTCTTAAGCGCCGCAGAGCCCCAAAGGGTAGGGCGGGAGAAGGGGAGGGGGCTTGAGGAGGGAGGGACCTGGACGCCTAGCCCTGTGCAGCAGGAAGCGGCGACACCTGGGATGCCGACGCCTCTAGCTCTTGCTCTGTGTTTTTAAAAAAATCTAATTTAAACCCCTCTTCTTTCCCTCCCGCCCCTCACACTGGCGACCGTTACGGGCTGGCGGCTGGCGCTCTGGCGGGACTAGCCGAGCGCCCCTCGAGCGTCCCTTGGTCCCGCCCCCTAATGCCCCGCCCCTAGTTCCCCAAGCACCCTCCCCGGTCACGCCCCCAAGGTCCGCCCCTCGCAGCCCCCGACGCCTCTGGCCCCGCCTCTCAGACTCCGTAGCGTCCCGGCCCCGCCTCCTCAAGGCTTCTCCTCTGGCAGCCCCGAGCTCTCTCTGGCCCCGCCCCGAGCGCCCCTCGAGAGCCCTGGCCCCGCCCCCGCAGCTCCCTCCGCTCCCTCAAGCGCTAAGTCCGTGAAGCCGCGGCGGTGGGGGCCTGCAGGCCCGGCAGTCGGGAGGGCCTGGTTCGGGGCGGCTGCCTGGCGCCTCTTCAACGTCCTCCTCCGGCTGTGCAGCTCGAATCCACAGCGTCCCCGGAGGGCCAGAGGGGGAAACGACCCCGACAGAAATCCGACCGCGAAGGGGAGGAGGGGCGCCTCGGAAATGTCTCCCGCCTTAAATGAGCGAGCCCCCCACTCCTACTCCCGAGGCTGAGCCGCCGCTTTGAGTCAGCCTCGGCCGCCCACACTGGCTGCTGGGGCTTTAGGGGAAAGCCACTGCAAAGGTTCAACCTCCGCACGCCCCCCGTGGGGCCTGGACTTTGCTCTCAGCACAGCTGCCTTCGCGGGCGCCTAGTCCCCACAGCCCCTGCTTCACCTACACACGGGGGGAGGGCAGGGGCTCTCGCTTCTGCTCCATTTGGACCCCTCGAGAGTCTTCACTCCCACTTTGGCTCCCGGCCTCTGAACCTTATGAAAGCTCACTTCTTTGAGGCGAGAAGTCGAGGCATCGCCAAGAACCTTCAAAATGAATGCGGGGCCGGGCAAACTTTGCAACACGCAATTGCAGGGCTGTGGATCCATCCACAGGTGACACCGGGCCGCCCACCCCCGTCGCCCAGACATGTTTCTCACCTCAACCTATTCTCGAAATAGACCTCCCAGCGGTGCACACTTTTCTCTGCCACCCACAACTTCCACGTCCCTCCTGCACCAGTACACTTGCAAGCACACCCCTCCGAGCGCCATTCTAGTGATTCACGGTCCCTTGGGCCAACCCCACCCTAACACACACAGCAAACTTCATTCCCCACCCTTATCTCCCTTCGTTTCCAAGGCACTGGCGACAATCCACTTCATTTCCTTTCCTCATCTGCAGACTCGTCCCCCTCAAATACCTCACGCCATCCCCCTCATCTTCATCCCCTCCCTCCTCCCTAAAAATGTGCTAATTAAAATGTAGTTTCCTCTTCCCACATATGAAGTGTGGAAAATGAATCTTGTCTTGGCACAAACTGTGATGTATTTATCGTTTTCTCTCTCCACTGGACTAAGGCTGTAGAAATTTTAGTCTACCACCATCTCCCATTTGCTCAAAAATCCAACCATGCCATATTATTTTTAAATAATCTTAACGAATCGTGGGGAAGTCTTCCTAGTTTGGGGGAGAAAATTGTTTAGAAGATGCTCAGCCTGACATATTATTTGGCATTTAAAAATATCTGCAGTATTTGAGAGAGATATTGGGAGTGGCTGGATATTTTCTTGCATTTAAAAAGCAAAAAAAAAAAAATGAAAAGCTTTGCATGCATCAAGGTTAGCCTTTTTATGAATAGCAAAAAAAGTATCCTAAGGGCACCTATCAGAATATAGTCCCCACTATATTTTGCTAGTCACAAATCTAGACACCCCCACCACCACCAAAGGAAGACAAATTAACAAAATCCATTTTAAGCATGTCTGGTGAACAGTCTTTTCCATGATCATTCCTTTTCTAACAGTTTCTGGACAAAATAGATAGATCTCCTTACCCACCGAAGATCCAAAGCTTCCTTCTAACCAGGGTAGTAGACGTACGTGTCTGTGTCTTCTGTTCTCTAGGTGTGGATTCTGCAATGCTGCACAGAAACCCACTGCAGCCTCAGACCAACAGCAGCAGCAGCGGCGGCGGCGGCGGCAGCAGCAACAGCAGCATTAGCAGCAGCAGCTTCTCTCAATGCTGAGTAGTAAAGTGTTTGACTTAGTAGACTCTACAATTACCATTAGGCGCTTGCTTATAAGAGAGGAGGCGGAATCTTTCTTAAAGGAATGGGTTTTGTTTTTCCTCTCTAGTATTGCTTCATAAGAGGCAGAGAGGGTGGAATCAGAGAGTTTTGTGGACTGAGTAAATCAGTACAGCTGTGGGAGGTCAAGGTTAAAAATAACTGGGTGATTGAGGAATGGAGGCAGTGATTTTAGTGTAAGTCAATGAAATGTTAGAAGCACCAGTTTTAAAGAGCCCTGCTAATTTCAAATATTGGGGTTAGTGGCAACATAAAGTTGTATGCCTTGAAACTGATTAGTAATTTGTGCAAATATTTAATTTTCAATAATTGTACTAAAATAATAACTATGTAAAGGAAAGTTATTTAGTATTTAATACAAGAATAAAAAGGAAAATGAAGTAAAACTCATTTATGTGACTAGAAGCAATGGATTCAAGTCCTACCTATAAGCATACTTGGAACTTCAGTGAATACCAGTATTAGAAAATATATTATTGACAGATTTCAATGTGTGCTCATGTGTTATAAAAATTACAATATTACATATTGAAAAAACAAAATATATTTAAAATAATTTTTGGATAATAGCACAGTATTGTGCTATTTCAGTGGCAATTCAAAAGTCAGCAAAATTAAGAAACACAAGTGGATTAACTGAATCTAAGCGCATATGAATCTACTATTTACACTATTAAAATGTGTCGTGTCCATATGAGAATCTGCATTATAACCTTACATTTTTTCTTTATAATATTATTTGATTTAAGCACTGACCAGCTATGTTTTTTTCTAAGTAAAGGAAGAGGTGTGATCTCAAAATATGAATAGAAAAAAATACAGAAAATATTCTGCCATTGATTTTCTTTGCACAGCTTTTGTTAATTATGGACCCGTGTAATCTTGAACAAGTAAGTAACCTTATTTGGTTCTTAGTTCTCTGTTTTGTAAAGTGAGGAAGTTGGATTGAAATTTTCCAGGGTCTGGCTGGGCATGGTGGCTCACGCCTATAATCCCAGCACTTTGGGAGGCTGAGGCAGGTGGGTCACGAGGTCAAGAGATTGAGACCATCCTGTCCAACATAGTGAAACCCTGTCTCTACTAAAAATACAAAAATTAGCCGGACATGGTGATGTGTGCCTGTAGTCCCAGCTACTTGGGAGGCTGAAGCAGGAGAATCACTTGAACCCGGGAGGTGGAGGTTGCAGTAAGCCAAGATCATACCACTGCACTCCAGCCTGGCAACAGAGCAAGACACCATCTCGAAAAAAAAAAAATACAAAAGAATTTCCCAGGGTCCTTTAGCATTCCAAAATAGTATGATTTTATGACATTCATATGTTTATATTTTTGTCACTGAATGTAAGTATGTCTCACTCCAAATTACTTTTTCTGAAAATTTGGATTAAAAGTAAATCTTTATTTTAAATGCTTAACCAGAGTATGTTAGTTGCCACTATTCTGAAATATTTTGGCAATTTATTTTGTAAAGTAAATAAACTTAATTTTATCTGATTATGATTTTGTATCCAACTATGACCAATTTCCCTGAAGTAGGACCCTAATATATTGTTAAGGATACCAAGTGACTGAAGTACTATAATGTATGTTCAGTAATAACTAAAACATATTTTAAAACTGTAGCATTTGTAGGATGGTAGAGGTAAAACAGATTTTAGAGCTTACCTACTCCAACCCTGTTGTTTTACATGTAGAAAACATGGAAACCTGGAGAAACAAAATGGGGACAGTGTTAGGGACAGAACTAGGATTAATTATGAGTCTCCACTCTTCACACACAGAAGGCAAATAAACTATGCATGAACATACACAGTTTCATATACCCACTCTGGGGGCTGAGCAGGACCTGTCACAACAAAAACAAGTAGTTTCAGGCCAGGCGCGGTGGCTCACACCTGTAATCCCAGCATTTTAGGAGGCTGACATAGACCCATCACTTGAGGTCAGGAGTTCGAGACCAGTCTGGCCAACATGGTGAAATCCCATCTCTACTAAAAATACAAAAATTAGCTGGGCATAGTGGTAGGTGCCTGTAATCCCAGATACTCGGGAGGTTGAGGCAGGAGAATCACTTGAACCTGGGAGGCAGAGGTTGCAGTGAGCCGAGATTGTACCACTGCACTCCAGCCTGGGCAACAGAGCAAGACTCTGTCTCAAAAGACAAAACAACAACAAGTAGTTGCAGTCACTGATACTATTTATGTACGTATAAACTAAAGGAATATATCAAACAACTACTTATAATGTAAGTATGAGCGAATTTTGCCTTCAAATTTGGAGATGTTTGTATTAGAAAGTGAAGAAACCTGTCCAGGGGGATGTTGAGAGAAAAAAAAATGACCTTTGGGGAAACCCATAACCCATTAGCAAACTCATGCTTGTCTTCTATTCAAATGACAGGGCCTTCAGCTACTCTGGTGGTCGTTTCCTTGCATCCATGGGTGCCTCTGTTTCCGTTGTCTACATCTGCAAGCATGCCTGCCAAGAGGAATGCTTCATTTTGGAGTCAGGCAGGGGAAAGTATTGTAGCGACTTATTTCTGGCCTTTAGAGATGCTTTCTGGATATTGAAAACTTTGGGCTAGACACTAACGTTTTTCCCTTAAATCTTCACTCAGTATGCCTGGTAAAGAGCCTGGTACTAACCTAAACCCAGTCTACCTAGTTTCAAGGAAGCATTAGAGTTAAAAATCTGTATTATGTTGTATGACACAGCAAACTTGGTTTTTTGTGTACCTGGCAGGAACTTTATCACCTTGGTGTGTTTTTTTTTTTTTTTTTTTAGTCTCGCTCTGTTGCCCAGGCTGGAGTGCAGTGGCGCGATGTCAGCTCACTGCAATCTCTGCCTGCTGGGTTCAAGCAATTCTCCTGCCTCAGCCTCCTGTGTAGCTGGGACTACAGGCACATGCCACCATGCCCAGCTAATTTTATGTATTTTTAGTAGACACAGGGTTTCACCGTTTAAGCCAGGATGGTCTCGATCTCCTGACCTTGTGATCCACCTGCCTCGGCCTCCCAAAGTGCTGGATTACAGGTGTGAGCCACCGCACTCAGCCTCAATTTTTTTTTTTTTAATGCCTCCGACAGGGAGAGAATTAAAAGAAATTAGTTGCCCAGTTTCCTTCATCTGTTTTTGTTTTCCTTGCTTCTCTGCAAGGAGGGCTTTTTATTTCATCTACCAGGTGGTATTGAACAACGAATAAAACAGTGATTATTTGTATAATTCAAAGCATTCCTCCACACCCTCTCCCCACAAATTGAATGCATTTCTTTACCTCTTCCCAAAGTGCTCAGCAGTCTCTTATATAAAGGCACTTAATAGATACTTTAAAAAATGAATACACAATTTAATGAATGAATTGCTCCCAACATATCCAGAAACTGATTACAAAGTGTTTTTGTTTGTTTTTAATTTGCATTGTCCAAAACAACTGACTCCATTCTCTACCTCCCTTTCCTAACACAGTCATGATCTAACAGAAACAATCTCTTTTCTGAAGAGCTCTTTAGACATGCCTGATTTGTATTCTCCAATTAAATTGTAGCCACAAATCTCAACAGGAACTCTGCGGAGATCAAGCAGTAGCAGAGGCACTTTCTGCCAAGAAAACACAGGCTTCAGTTTCAAAATTCTGGTGTTCCAGTTCTAGATGTAACACCAACTGGTTATGTGACCTTAAACAAGTTTCTCGACATGCTTGTGTCTCAGTTTAGCTATCTTTTAAGTGGTGGCAGTGGTGGATTATAAGACCTGCTGTACCTACTTCATAGGGTTGTTGTGAAGTTCAAATGAGATAATAAATGTAAAAATGCTTTGAACTTTTCAAAGCACTATGTAAATATAAAGTATTATTATAGGCAAATGTATTTAAAATCAATTATCTAGTTCAAGGGACTTCACCCTAAACAACCTGTTTTACTACTTGTTTCAGAAAGCAAACAGGTTTATCTTTCTTCCTCTTTCTAAACACACACACACACACACACACACACACACACACACACACACCCTTACTGTTACCAATTTAACAACTTCTCAGCTTTGAGGATTTTCCCTTGGGTTGGGAAATAAGCATATGCCATTTGAATATGAAGAGCCAAGAATTTATAGAATCGTCTCCCTATCCCACCCCTCAGAATTTACCTTTTTAAAGCTCTCAGACAGAAAAGTAAACTTAATGAAGCACAACAGCCTTTTCAAACTATGTAATGTTATGTATTTAATCAGTGGAGTTAGATGAGCCATTCATTTGAAACTTGGCCATGCTACATACATTTTGATCACCCTTTTATGCCAAGCCAGTCTGGAAAGTACTTGGGGAACAAGGCAGGGAGGACTGACATGGAATTCATGCTAATGAGTTCTTCATTCCCCAAGGAGATATAATCAGGGCAATATTCAAGGATTCATCAACATATTTTGTTGGTACTATGTGACCTATATGGTTTATTTTAAAGGAATTAACCTCAGCTAAATATCTGAAAGATCTTTATACAACTGTTTAGGTAATCAAGCCTGATAAATTTCTGAAACTTTAATGAAATATCACCCTTTAGGGTCCTCTTTTTTTTAAGTGTTTATTCTCATTTATTCATTTTCTATTTGGTAACTTAAAATCATCATGGCTAAATAAATATGCAAACAACTGCTACAAATAAGAAACTCCTAATGGTAGGCCCACTCATATATAGGACATAAAAACTCACATGAACTCAACTTAAGAGTCACTAGTTTCCGGCTGGGCGCGGTGGCTCTCGCCTGTAATCCCAGCACTTTGGGAGGCCAAGGTGGGTGGATCACAAGGTCAGGAGATCAAGACCATCCTGGCTAACACGGTGAAACCCCGTCTGTACTAAAAATACAAAAAAATTAGCCGGGTGCGGTGGCGGCACCTGTAGTCCCAGCTACTCGAGAGGCTGAGGCAGGAGAATGGCGTGAACCCCAGAGGCGGAGCTTGCAGTGAGCCGAGATTGTGCCACTGCACTCCAGCCTGGGTGACAGAGCGAGACTCCATCTCAGAAAAAAAAAAAGAGTCACTAGTTTCTTTTTGTTTGTGTTTAAGACAGAGTCTTACTGTGACCTCCGCCTCCTGGGTTCAAGCATTTCTCCTGCCTCAGCCTCCTGAGTAGCTGGGATTACAGGTGCCTGCCACCATACCTGGCTAATTTTTGTATTTTTAGTAGAGACGAGGTTTCACCATGTTGGCCAGGGTGGTCTTGAACTCCTGGCCTCAGGCGATCTGCCTGCCTCAGCCTCCCAAAGTGCTG